TGGCTATACAAATAATCATTTTTTTCGTTTAGTGGTCAACTGAAAATATTTTTAAACATTGTTTTTGGTCACTTAGAAATAAGTATTTTTTTTAAACATTCAGCAACAACCAACTATTTGTTTTGGGTCAAATGAAACATTTTGTTCAACCACAATGAATGCTTTTATTAAAATGTCCATAAACCAAACCAAACCAAACCAAACCAAACCAAACCAAACCAAACGGCTGGATTAAAAAAACAGTATGGAAATTGAGATGCCAGTGATCCTATTTATATTCTACAGCCCCAGATATACAGGACACCTGGATTCAAATCCTGTCTAGCTCACTCAGAGCTCTCCCATTTCTTAGAAAACTGTTTCAAACACTTAGCTATCAGGCACTATAGTGTTGGTTTCTCTCAATCTCTTACTGAAACTGTTCCACTTTGCATAAAAACTGATCAATGGCCAGGTGGTTTTGCTACAGAATGTTCCTGTGTTTTATACAAAGTGAAATAGCTTCAACAGCAGAAACCACGAAACGCACGTTGCAGCCTGCCCTACAGCCAGGTGGTTCAGGGCACTATTCTGAGTAATGAGAGACCTTGGCCCAAATTCCTGAGCTGAATCATGCAGATAAGTGATTTGAATCTGGTCTCCCAATCCATAGGGAACTGTCCTAAACACCTGATTATAGGAAACATTACCCTGCCCACATCCTCCCTGGTGCCTAACTCTCTTTGTTGATCTAAATCCAAAATCAAAATAATTTGTTTTACACATGAACTATTTCAACATTTGCCTTCATTTATTTACACCTGAATTTGAAAACAGTTTCTAGCTAGGAACTGTATTTTTCATTCAGCCAGCCCTACTAAGGGAATTTTAATTAAACATACCTTTAAGATAGCATTGAGACTATTACTTTTGAACATGAACCATATGTTACTATGGCATAGCAACCTGAAATAATATAAAAAGCAGGAGATAATAGCTGAGGATGCTTAAAACAATGAGGCAAACATTATTATTGATAAGTTAATCTCAAGAGATACACATCCCAACATTACCTACACCTTTTTCTCATTGTTTTCCAGTAAATATTTACACTGCTTTTTATTCCCCTCTGACACCTGTAACAGTCTTACAAGGCTGTGAGTTTATATGGACTGACTTATTTTAATAACAAACTAACAGATTACTACACAGACACTCAAAAAGTAGGCAAATCAACTAAAGATATGAAGATAACACAGAATTAATATTTAAAAAACACCACGTAGATCTCCCATTCAGAAGTAAAGTGGCCTAGACTGCTGTAATTTACCCAGCTGAGCCTATGGAAAAAAATGCATAATTCTATCTGAGCAGTTTAAATAGCATACAGTAAATAAAGTATAAGGATACACAAAGAACATTAAGAAAGAAAAATATCAGTCACCGCTCACTGAGTGCCATCCATTGTATGAATAGAATGCAGTGGGATTCCTGTGGAAAAAATATTATGGGAACATGCAATGGCAACCTTATTTCTACCATTTCCCAAATTCTAGTATTTGGCTTTTCAGCTTCAACTTTTAACATAGTTTTCTGTGAAAATATGTAATAGTAATCAAATATTTACATTTTCACAAGACCACCCTAACACTTTTCAAGTTTACTGATGCTCCTTTCTTTTTCTAAGGTCTTGTTTCACTTTTTGAGGCCGCACCTCAATCCCTCCAAAAATCCATGGCTCTTCTGATAAACGATGCTACATCAGACTCTTCAGAGCAGTATCACATGGCATTCTCTGCTCCCTTCTGTTCTCCAAAGCAACAAAAGGAAGCATAATATTGTTAATAACCTTTAGTTGCACCCTGCTGCATTACCTGCAAAATTGGCAGTTCTTTGGTTTCTGAATTTTCTACTTCAGAATGAATAACATCACATTAGTACTGGAATTCCAGGACACAGTTAAATTTGTATGGGGTTAAGTACAAAATATCAAAGAATATCAGCTGAAGGGCTACTGACTCCTGCAACATAGCACATGGACCAGTGCACACTCTGGCTACTTACAGATGTTAAAAAAAAAAGCATTGCTTTGTTTTAAACTTGGTGTACTCTCGCACGGAGCCCAGTACATGCTCATTCAATGTCTGTATAGGTCAGGAGCTTTAGTAGGGATTTTTTGGTACTTTATTTAATAGCTAATTGAATCAGTTTTAGATAAAAGCACCAAAAAGCCCCACTGAAGGCCCTGATATATACAGGCACTGTTGAGCTGGGTCAAACTAATGTGCTGATTTTGCTGGTAAAGTGAGGGGTTTTTTTTTTTTTTTTTAACATGTGTAAGCAGCTCTGAGTGGTTTCAAAAGGAGAGGAGCTGCTGCTGCTTGGGCTCATCACAGTTGTTAAATTCTAACAGCTGTGTGCACACTAGTTTGGAGTGATACAACTGAAGCAAAACTGCCGCAGCTTTAACCTTGGATGAAGTTTGTGCATGTGTAACAGTTAGAATATAACCGATGAGTGCTGCATGGTCCTGAGGGACAACCCTTTTGGAACTGCTCCAGATGTACACTTGTCCATACCCATAAACAGGGGCCAATTGGCTGGGGGCAGGGGGTAGAGGGAGCAGCAATGGTGTATTTGTACCCTTTGATTCCTGGTCCACTCAAAGTTTAAAGCCAACTGCCTGGCAGTGGCAGCAACATTTCCAATCACACTGTGCTAAAGGAGTCCCTTGACTTCACGACTCATTAAAATCTACCTGATCCTTTTAAACTTTTCATTCCACAGGTGTTAATGACCCTGTCTTCCTCTAAATGGTCATGATGTTCCACCAATCAAGCTATCCTTTGTTCGCAGTTCTGCTGTCTGTTAGCTGCTCCTGGTAATGAAGGCTTGCAGACTGTTTTTAACTCATTCCAATGAAGTTATATTTGTTTTTGCTTCCATCTTAAACTGAACAATGAAATCCCAGATCCCTATTGTATTAGTAACGTTTCCAGTTTATTTTTAACTGGAGAAAAATATGTATTTTATATGTGATGATGCACTTTACTATTTGCACCCCCCTTTTCAACATTCTAGATCCATCCACAGCCATATGTACTTGCATTCAGATGGGGGATGACTGGTAATGAAAACATGCTATCTTGTCTCCTCCAGAAAAAAAGGATGAATGGAGAGTAACAGTCAGACCTTTTCTTGCAGAGAACCTGCCAGTGTAAGTACATGAAATGCTGGCTTATGGAAAAAAACTGAAAAAAACTCTTATATACAAGATAAACAAAAACTTGGACTAGATCTAATTTTCCTGATCAAATTTGTCCATTACTAATACAGAGCAGTAAAACAAACACACAAAACTTACCATCCTTCATCATCCTCCACCTCAGGTTCTGAAACCTCACATTCAGGAGTTTCTGCTATTGCCTGGTTTAACTTTGATTTGAATTGGTCCAGTAATGCCAGTGTCTGAAATGAAACATTTTTTTTCACTTAAGTTTTGTAACATTAATAAGTACACTTTAGTTTGTACTGTTTGATGAATGGTAAAATGAGATTGATAAGAAATTCTTTATAAATATTTGTGAAAAAGTCCTCCTATAAAAATCCTCTCTCATTCAGCATTTCTCATGTCATCTTTTTTAAATGACCATATGACACATATGACGTAAGTGAAGGATGGTAAGTGAATAGCAACAAAATTAAACTACTGATTTTTATTGGGGTCATTCAAGGCTATTTCCTAGAATTTTAAGAACCTACAGATTAATAATGCTCGCTGAAGAAGACTCATGATAATTTACAAAAAAGTGCATACAATATAGACAAACTATATAGCTGTTAGTCTATTAACATAAGCTATAATTATTTTACAATGTAACACTGTAAAGTTGGAATGAACCTTGGTGGATGTTCTACTGTCATATTTACTTAAGGGAGCAGATACTTCCAGCTATACTAAAAAGTGAAATATTTGATCATTAATATAGTCCATTGAAAAAAATTACTATTTAAAATAAATAATATTCTTGTAATACAGAAACGAATGAAACAGATTTAAAAACACATATTTTAGTATCTTGGCTTTGTAGATGATTACATTTTCAAAAAAATTATAAATACAGACTTCTTCCTTGATGGCAACAGGCAGGTTATACAGACTAACTGTGCAGATTTACTGTATCAGAATCATATTGGTTTAGAGCTGGTATTTTATACATGAAAACCCTTCTATATGTCTTTTTCAGGGGTTTTAAAAAAAAAGTTTTTAACTTTGAAACGTTAAACCAAGTTTTAAAGTGAAAAATGGTGAAAACAGAAATAGGAAATACCACAAAAGTACAATGTAGTCAAGTTTCCTTCTGGAAGCAACCTTAAACTTTGGGTGTTTCCTAGCTTTTGAATGCTTTGAAAACTTAATATAGCATTAGGAATAGGATTTATTTTTTTGCATTTGATTTCCATATTTCCTGTTTAAGAAACTGGAGGAGAAGAGGAAAACTTCAGAATTTTAGAGTTTGTACAGGAGAGAAGCTGCACAATCCTGCCCAGCCTACTACCTTTAAAGATGGGGAGCCTTTATCTGGGCCAAAAGAAGAGAAAAATCTTGGTCTCATTAAAAGTTTCTCCCCCCTTTTCCTCCTTTTAGTATTGAGGAAGTGTGTGTGTGGGCAGGGGCAGAGATGATGGCATTTCCTAAAGGTGGTGGTGAATGGAATTGGTGCTTCTAATAGCTGGGATAACAAACAGACAGTGGTATAACAAACCAAGTTGGTGCCCAGGGCAAACTCTGCAGAAGAGCGGGGGGAGGGTGCACACAGGTTTTGCATGGGAATGGTGGCATGGGTTACAAGAATGGGGGTGCGCAGGAAGGTGCCTGAGTTCTGAAAGCAGCAGCAGTGTTACTCAGCAGGAACCTCAAAACAGTCCCGGCTGAAGTAGTGCCACATGTGCTCTGCCCACCCTGGCTCTGATGTTCTTAAACCAACAGCAGTTGAAAACTGTTTGTATGTTCCCAGCAGGGCAGTGCTGCTGGGGCCGGGAAGTGATTCTGGCTCTAACTTAGCATCCAGGGCAAGTGCCCTTCTTGCCCACCCCTAGTTATGCTACTGCAAAGAGACCATATTTCCTTCGTCATCTCTTCAACTCTTATATAGAGAGAAGGCAATGTGGCTTCTGCAATAGTACTGGGACTAGGTAGAAATGCATGTAGAGGGATCAAGGGAGCTTTTTATCACATGAAATGGATTATGAAGGAAGGACTAGATGCTGGATGGTTCCCAGATGCACTACATAAGGCTGTGACCCATAAAAACACATTCCTGGTGTTCTAGCTTGTCTTCCTGTGGTGCCTAGGACAATGCTGATGCAGTGCTTTAGAGTTCCTTGATCCATTCTGCTGATGGAACTTTAATTCTTTTATTCAGAGTTAATGGGTTTTTGGATGTTTCCAAAGTTTCCATAAACTCCTCAGTTCAGAGCTAATTTAGTTTGTTCCACTTATGAAGTCTATCACCCCTTGCTTTGAAGTTATTAAGCCTCAAGTTTCCAATCTCTTTCAGTTTCAGCAGCTGAACACATACATCCTTGTAACCAAATATCTGTGCACTTGTAAACCTGTGCATGCATGTGTACTGTATCCATCTTAGATTAATGGTGTTTTCCACTTCACAGGCAGTCGCACAAATTTAAATGTTCCAGACTTGCTATTTGCTGTTCTTTTAAACTTAAAGCATGCATTTGCTTATTAGGCTCTATTCATATATTTGGTTTGACTAAGCCATATTAAACTTTTTAACTAAGTCAATTGTAAGTAATTTTTTTAGTAGGAAAAATAACTTTTGTTCATTTCAAAAATACAATATGGAAGAAAGAATGTTAATCTTCTGAAAGCAGCAGAAATTTTTTTTTCTGCCGCACAGGTAAAATGTTATGGGAGGCCGTGGATTATGTGAAAGCAGGGGAACAGAATGGAAAGTTACTGCAAAGTTAGCAATGCTGGCTGTGATTGTACAGACCTGGACCCAGCTGTTCCTTTTTATTTCTACAGGAGGGCTAACCCCTCTCTGTAGCCTAGCTCCATTTGATGTTTCTTTCTCCACTCCTTTAGGCTTTCTAGGTAGGTACTTTGATTAGATTCAGGTTCCAAATTATGTTGCTCAGCCTCCTGGATGGCTGCTCTTCCAACATCATTTCTTCCCAGATTCTCCAACCCCAAACTGCTCCTATCTCCCCAAAATTGCAGAAAAACAGGATGTACAATAAAACTATCTAAGTCAGAACAAATATGTGTAATTTCTTTCTTCATGCTACAAAACTGCCCATGAAGGAAGTTTTTGGAGGCCACTGCCACCAGAGTCAAGAACACCTCTATGCAGATAACTCTTTTTTTCTGAAGATTCTGGCATCTTGAGGGACACAAATATTTTCTCAATACTTTGGTAAGGAAATTAGTGATTAGAAACTTTTCAGACTTTCCCTATGTCCATGCCAGAAAAAGCCACATAAAGAAACAGAGAAACCATATTCTCCACTCCTAACCCTGCCCTGAGTTTCTCACGAAACAGATTTTTCTAAGTTTTACAGTTTTACTACTTTAACCAGTTACCTGATCTTCACGAGAAGCCCCTTTCTTTGGCTGCCGTTTCCGCATGTCTTCATACTTTTTCTTCTCCTGAAGATATTCTGCAACAATGGACTTTGACATACCTTCTTCCTCTGAATAAGGAAACATATTTTGTTAAACATCTTCATTTAAGGAAAATTTTGCAATTTAATCTTAGCTTACAGGCTGTTCGTGTCTTCTAATTTACCAAATAAAACACCTCTGAAAAGCTTTTGGATGTAAAGCTTTTTCACCTAGCAACAGACACATAGACAGTTTTACTCATCTCTTCAGACACCATTGCTGGTAGGATTTATAATTCACCTCTTATAAATGACTGTTAATTAGCTGCTTTATTTTAAATAGTTATGCTTTTATTACTTATTTGTCATGACAACTTGCAAAATCCATCTGAAGGTTATCCTACAGCATAAGAAGGGAAAGCATTGTAAAAGATTTTTTTCACAATAAAATATCATTGCTGTTGTCTCCTTTGCACTTATGTGTGTGCTTGCAACGTGAATCTTCAACATTTGGAGACTTTTTAAAAGGGATATTCCATGAGGGGGGTGTCACATGAAGGCATGGGCATTAGGGTCTGGGACCATTTGTGGATGGAGATGCTGACCCAGGTCAGGATGGGTCAGCAGAGTCTAGGGACAAACCAGGTCAGGGAGCTGGGAAGTCAATCAGAGAGTGGAGTCTGAAAGTATGTCAGAGAGATAGAGGACAGCATGGTTACAAATGACCCAAGTCAGGAAGCCAGGCGATCAAGTTGGGAGCAGAATCAAGGAGTAAGCTGGAGTGAGCAGCAGAGTAGTTATGGGTCAGGTAAAGCCTGGTCACCCAGACACTTCTATTCCTGTTCAGGGGTTTATATGTGTGAAATGGAGGGACAGCTAACTTCAGCTGGCCATTCTGGTAACAGGGAATGAGTGAAAGGTTAGGCCCTACTTGAGGCTTCAGGTCAGCCTCAACCAGTCTGGGGGATCAGCTGTAGGTTTGCAGGCTGAGAAAAATGTCACACTGTCCAGGCCAAGGCTATGTCCTGACAGGAAGTGAGAATAATGGCTGCTATGTCAATGCAGTGTTATGTGCAAACATCTCCCAGATGCTGTTCTTCTAAGAATAGCTCTATTTTCTACACACAGCTTAAATGTGCCTCTGAACAACCTGGGTATACTTTTCATACCTTAGTTTTCAAATGGTGTACTGCAGAGATTTCTCATTGTCAGAGTACAACTAAATCTATCTGCAGAATACAGGCCAAATAAAACCAGCATAAAGTTTCTGCATACTGTATCTTAAGCTACTGGAAATTAATGGATCACAGAAAAATGCTGGTTTTTTGCAACACTATACCTTAAAACAGCACCCTCAGCAAATTGTACATTCAAAATATTTGGGAATGGATTGCTGTATGCAGAGATCAGAATGTAATGCAGGTAGCACTAAGCTAATATTAACAATTTGTTTCAACAATGAAATTCATTTTAAAATAAGTATTAAAAGCATGGGATTAGCTAGTTTTTCTTAATTCAACGTATCTAGGCATTTATTTTGTATCTAATTACTATAGTATCTGAGTGTCCCAGTGGAATAATATTTTCACTCTTATGATGTAGTATCACAAATGCCACTTTTCATCAAAATGACCATCACCCAACAAAAACTAATTGTGGCTTCATTCTAAGGAAGGCTTTAGGCACATGTCTGAGTTTACATACAATTCCAGAATGTCTATATTTACTATATGTGCTAACCGGAGCTTTATGTTTGTACAGTAGCTCTGCCACTAGATTGCACCCAAGGACTACACCTTGAGATTTTGGCAGAAGGTAAAAATCCAACCACCTCAAAATTGTATTTAACTAATTGGACACAGCTATATGTGAAGCAGTAGAGACAATCTCTTCTTTGTTTCTACTTTTATTCAATGAAAAAAAGTTAAATTGCTAAAACACCCATTCTCTAAAGTAACACTTTTGAGGTACAACAAGCTTTACCATATTTACTTGCATCCAAGATGAGATCCCCGCCCCCCAAACTGCATTGTGTGGCTGGGCTGGGGCAGGAGCTACCCTGTGCTCCGTGCCCCAGGCTGAAACAGGGCCAGTACAGCAACACGTGGTAAGCAGTGAGGAGAGGTAGAAGGTGCACGCAGCAGGGGGCCCAGGCATGGGGGAGGGGCAGGTGGCAGCACAGACAAGTGTGGCAGGGAAGGGGCAGGTTACAGATCACTTGTCTCCCCCCACCATCTGCCCTCCACTGCTGCTACTTTCCCCAATATAGCATTGGAGGGGGATGAATTTAAGATGAATAAATTAGATGCCATAGCTGGGAGGGGGGGTTGTTTAAAAAACAACAACTGTGTGTGTGTGTGTGTGTGTATGTGTGTGTGTGTGTGTAAAAATCAATTTCCTATGTATAGAATCTAATGGAGAGTGGGGGTGGGGGGGCGTTAAATTCAAAGTCCTCTTGGATTCAGGTAAATATGGTGTCTTACTTGAGTTCTGTTTCTAATAGTTCTCAATTTTCCAAGTATAATGCTCACATATTTAATGATGTAAAAGCAGTCTTACTTTTCAAAGCCTGTGCCCCCCAAGCACAAATGATGCCTTTCCAATAACAGATTACCTTACTACCAATCTCATCAAGTCGCCTGGTCTTAGCACAGCTGGTATCTGGGTCTGTGGATCCATCTCACTGACACAGACCACTTGATCAAATCACTGGACCAAACAACAAGAATTGTAACACTTGGGGTCCATTCACCCGCTGCTCCATCAACGTCAAATATACCATCACCTGCTTACAGTGCCCTTTTCTTGTTTACATTGGTCAGACAAGGCAATCTCTATGTAAAATAATGAATGGCCACCAATTTGACATCAGTTTCAGTAACTCATAAATACCTGTGACAAAACACTAACCTCCCTGGACATTCCATCACTGACTTCAAGAGTAGCTATCCTTAAAAAAAGGAAATTTTAAAAGCAACTTAACCACAGGATGGCAGAAAAATAAATCATCCACATGCTGGATTGTGCTAGCCTTGGTCCCAACAAGAACTCTGTATGTTTTATCCCATTACATAGCTGTGGACTAGCTGTGAACTCGTGTCCCACAAAGTATCAAGTGCTTGTGAACTTGTGTCGCTCAAGGTATTAAGTGCCTTGTTCATCTCAGTTGATCCAAATAACCAACTTCTTACTTAGTTTAGTAGTATCTCCCACTCCGCCCTGATCCCTTTCTTTTCTATATAAAACACTTTCTTTCTGCCATTGCTTCATAGCACCTGACAATATAGGTTGTTCCCTACAAAAGCTCATGCCTCTGAATCAGTTAGTCTTTAAGGCAGTGATCCTTAACCATGGTGCCAGGGCACCTTGGGGTGCCATAAGATCTTTTGAAGGTGTGAGATGTAAGGAGACAGTGCAGGTTTAGGTTCATCCCTGCCTGGACATTGCCCCATGCCCACTACTCAGCTGCTCTGCAAGGAGGTAAGCACAATCAATAAATTAGTTTTTTAAATAGGGTGCTGCGCAATTCACAGAAGTTATGAAGGAGTGACTTGAGTCTAGAAAGGTTGAGCACCTCGGTTCTAGGGTGCCATCTTGTGATACCTTCTGCTTGTTCAAACAAATAAGCAATGAAGCTTTACAGTGCATGGGATAAGCAGTCAAACAAAACATTATTATTTATTTGCAGTTAAGACCTGAAGTCACTATTAGGCATTGGGCTTCACTGTACTCAGGACTGCACAAACACAGAATAAATAACAGTGAACAGCTGAACAGTTCACAAACTAAATTGAGACAACATTAAAAAAGAAAGAAGGTACAAGACAAGTTTAAAGGAAAGAACAGGGGTGGAAACTAGGGGAAAAATAGAATTGTATCATTGTATAGGGTGACTTGTCCATCTCAAATATTCCCTCATTCTTTCAGGCATTGTTTTGGTGGATTTGTTTAAAAGGAGATGGTGGTACAGTGTCGCAAAATGGTGTTTGGCTGTGGAAAAAACCTATTAGATTATCTAGTCTACTTCCCTGCTATAGACAATGCAAAGTGAGGTTTGCTTCCAAAATTATTATCAGAACACCCAACTCAGAAAGCTTGACTTGAGCCTGCAAATCTCCAAAGTCAGTCAAAATTGCTACTAATATTTCACAAAGTGAAATCCTCGCATTCTTTAATAAGATAGAAAACATACTAGTTAAACACAGAAGCACAACCAAATTTATGCTACAAAAACATTTTCTAGATGGCAATAAATATAAAGCTGTCAAGAAGACAGATTCAAGTGCGTTGCACCATCTGCCTGGTTTTGTTGCTTACTAGTTTCTGGTCTTTTGAGAGACTTTGTCATCTAGTTTGAAAGGTTTTCTCCAACTCCCACTCCCATACACATTTTCATTTTAAGCCAAAATGAACAAGCAAGCAGCTTGAGAACAGCTGTGGGGCCTGCTTGTCTTTCATTATTGTGCATGTGTGATATCAGGATTAAATCCTTCCTTAGGTCCCATCTGGATTACAGTGCTTTAGAAACAGTGCTGTTGAAATGTTTCTACATGGTGCAAAGCGTTAACATCTTAATACAATGAAATATGTCTAAAGATCAACTAAATAGAAAATTCATTTTGTTTTATTTTTGAATAGATATATTAATACCAAATGGCTGAAGTTTTCAGTGAGTTGTACAACTGATCCTCTACCACCATTTACTCATTAGTTGGCTGTAAAACACATTCAGAAGTAAAAACATCACAGGTTGGTATTCAAAATGCTATACACTTCTGCCATATGCACGGCATGTTTTAAGCTAGTTTCTTTCAGAAGAATTCAGTTGGGATGGTCTTAGTGAAAAAATGGAAAATTATGCCTTTCATCACTGATGTCTGAAAGTCTTTTGTGATGGAGTAATTGGAAATTCTATTGCAGTAATAAGCTCTTGTCATTTAGAACTTGTTAAAATTTATTTGGTGGTCTTTTCACCAGACTGTACATTATGATTTAAAACAAAAATGTTCTTAGTTCACTGCTCTTGTGGATGATCACAAGGAAGATTGATAGCTTGTTAAGAATTCTTTAAACATATGAAAATATGTTAATTTTTAGCTTTGGTG